AGGTCACGATCTCGCGGTCCATGAGTTCGAGCCCCGCGTCAGGCTCTGGGCTGATGGCTCGGAGCCTGGAGCCTATTTCCGATTCTGTGTCTCCCTCTCTCTCTGCCCCTCCCCTATTCATGCTCTGTCTCTCTCTGTCCCAAAAATAAAATTAAAAATGTTGAAAAAAAATAAAAATAAAAAATAAAAGCATTGTTTCGGGGCGCCTGGGTGGCTCAGTCGGTTAAGCATCCGACTCTTGATTTCGGCTTAGCTTGTGATCTCACGGTCTCACTCCCTCAAAATAAATAAATCAATCTTTTTGTAAAAAAGCATTGTTTCCCATTCTACATTAAAAAAATTTTTTTTTATGTTTATTTTTCACAGAGACAAAGAGACAGAGCATGAGAAGGGGAGGGGCAGAGAGAGAGGGAGACACAGAATCCCAAGCAGGCTCCAGGCCCTGAGCTGTCAGCACAGAGCCCGACGGGGGTCTCGAATTCACAAACCGCGAGATCATGACCTGAGCCGAAGTCGGACACTTATCCAACTGAGCCACCCAGGCGCCCCAAATATTTCCTTTTTCTTATCGAGGTAAAATTTGTGTAACATAAAACAAACCATTTTAACATGAACCAGTCAGTGGCATCTAGCCCATTCATAATGTTGTGCAACCAGTTCTAGAACGTTCTCCCCACTCCAAAATAAAAGCCTGTTCTATTTTAATTCCTCACTTCCCACCCTTCCATCCCTCAGCAACCCCCAGCCTGCTGTCTGTCTCTACGGATTTGCCAATTCTGGATATTCTAGATAAATGGAATCACACGCTCCGTGGTCCTCTGTGACCGGCTCCTGTCCCTCATGAGTGTGAGGGTTCGTCCAGCGTTTCATTCCTTTTGTGCTGAACAGTGTACATTGAGGGAGTGTCAGCACTGCCTGCTGGGGACGAGACCTCGGGGTCCGCGTGCACGTGCAGACGGAGCAGACGGGCGTGCCGGGAATGTTTAGGGCAAGAACGTGGAACCGTCCACAGTTTGTCCCAATCATCCTGCTCTTGTGACCATAGCCAAGGAGGAGACACTCCCCTGGACAGAGACACGCATTGAAATAGCATCTCTGTGACAAAAATGCTGGGATCTGTCCAGGGTCCAGCAGCAGTGGCCAGGGAGAGAAGTTTCTGGAACATCCTTAGCTTGCAGGCCTCACATGAAGTGGTTACACAAAGTAACATGTGTGAGCGACTCACACAGAGACGACGGGTCTCAGAGCTGTGTCCGCGCTGTGCACGATCACCAGGGAAACCCACGCAGAGGAAAGCTGGATTTGGGGCTGGGAAGGGGCTGTTCCGCACGGGCGTTATTGGGGTCCGGCTCTGTTGGTGAAGCACACGGGCCCAGAAAGCCAACGGACATAAGGTGTCTCCAGGCAGACCACAGCCGGGAAGGGTTCCCGGGGTGCAGCTGTCTCTGGTCTCCCTGCTCTCAACCTGGTGACTGTCCTGCGAGGAGGGCCCTACCCAGAGAGAGAGGCCAGCCCTGCCTGGGGTCCCACAGCCCTGGTGGGAGGCCGCGTGGCCTGACAGAGACTACTTCCCTGACCCTGCCTCACCTTTACGGCCAGCCCTGACATGGCTCCCTGGCCCCCTACAGTGACCCATGCACACAGGACAGCCGCCCGGCCTGGATGCTCACTAGAGGAGGTCCCATCGTTGTCCAGTGGCTTCTGGTGGCTTCTCCGACATGCTGGCCAGCCTGCACGCCCTGGGTGACCCTGGCAGGCCCGACCAGCCATCTCCTGGACCTCTCCACTCCCCTCAGCCCTATGAAGCCAGCAGGCAGGGTGGGACCTAATACAACAGACACTTGCTGTCCACTCTCCCCGCCCCCACCGCGGCTTGGGGAGACCAGGCGCCGCCGACAAGTCCAGTCTGCCCAGCCCAGTATGGACGTGCCAGGTGCCAGCGAGCCCCTGGGGGAGGCCAGCGCCAGGCTGGAGTGCCCGGGAGGGGCAGGGACGGGGGACAGGTGCAACCCAAGCCGTAAACAGGCCCAGGGGTTGCAGGTATAAAAGCAGACTCTCAGCACCCCCAGCCTGACCTGCCACCCAGAACCCTCAAAGGAAGCCAGGCGGAGGTGAGCCTTGCCCGGGGAGGGGGGCATGGGCTCTGGGCCCAGCCAGAGCGTCTGGCAGAAGCTGGGGGCCTCATCTTCATCCGTAGGACAGGGGGAGGCCCAGGGGGCTGAGGAGACTGCAGGGAGGTCCGGGGGGAGGGAGGAAAAGGAGGAGGAAGGGGAGGGGCAGCCCCAAGGGAGCCCCAGTCCAAAGGCAGCTGCGTGTGCCTGGGCGGGCACGTGTGCACACTCACGCTGGTGTGGCCTCCGAGAAAGTGCTATTGTTGGGGAGCAGTGTGGGGAGGCTGAGACCCACTCACTCACCTCAGGGCCCCAGGTGCTGAGGGGGGGGTCAGGGAGCCTGGGGGCGGGGAGGGTCCAAGGCCAACAGACCCACTGACTCTGGCAGGCACGCTAAGCCAGCTCTGGATCCCCTGGGACCCAGTCCCCATCCAGTGGGGCCCCTACTTCCATCACCCCCACCCCCAGCCCTCCCTGGGACCCAGTCCCTGTCTGAGGCGACCCCCTGCCTCAATTACCCTCCCCCTCCCCCCAGCCCATGCAGCATTTTTTTTCATGTCAGCATCTGAACCTGGTGACTCACTGGCAA